CCTGCTGCCGCTTATACTACCCACAAGCAGTGCTCTGGGGCCAGGCACCACAGCCCTGGTGGGGAGGGGCTTCCAGTTTCAATAAAGTTCACCAGTTTTTCACAGCTGAGCTATATATTCCATGGTCTATGTACCACATCTTCTTAACCCACTCATGTGTCCTTAGGGGCTTGGGTTGCTACCATACCTTGGCTATTGCAAACAGTGCTGCAAAGAACATAGTCTTTAGTAATAGTATCTTTGGGGACTCAACTCCAATAGCAAGGGAATCAAAAGCAAAATGAAAATGTTTCTGTGCAAGGAAAGAAACTATCATTAAGATGAAGACACCCTGCAGAATGGGAGACATATCTGTACATCATGCATCTGGTATGGGGCTGATATCCAAGTACTCACACAGCTTAACAAGACAACAAAAAACCAATCAAAAAAAAAAAAAAATGGGCAGGAGAGCTAAACAGACACTTCTCCAAAGAAGACACACAAATGACCACCAGGGACATGGAAACACGCTCATCATCACTAATCAGCAGGGAAATGCAAATCAAAACCACAATGAGAAACCGCCTTGCCCTCCACCGCCCCCACCCTGTGAGAACGGCGTGTACCAAAATTTACTGGGAAGTATTAACTCCAGGGTCCTCTTGCAAGCGATCACCGTCTCTGAATTCTGCACAACTTAGAAAAACCGAAGCCAAGCAGCTGCCCCGTTGGCTTGTTTATCCTGGGTCCATCCTGCACGGTCCTGAAGATGCACGTTGAAAGCAGGTCCTGGCTGGCCCACGAGAGCAACAGCTTCATCTTCTCCTCAGTATCTCTTGGCTGTCGGGTCATTTGCATTTCCAAGTAAATTTCAGAATCTGCTTGTCAAGCTCCACCAGAAAACAAAACCCCACTAGGGCTTTCTTTGCTTGATTTGCATTGAATCCATAGATGAAATTAAGAGAATTCAAGCATAATGTTGACCCATCCAAACTGTGAAATGGCATTTTCCTCCACTTACTTAGTGCTTTTTAAAATTCTCAACAATTTTATAATTTTCAGGGCAGACTGTTTGCCTAGAATCATTACTATGACCTTATCTTCTCAGATACTAGATAAGAGAAGCCAGCTCGGAGGAGCCAGGAGGGCTGTGCCTGATGGGCCTCGTGCGTGTCCACGGCACAGCTTCCTGCCCAGGCTTCCTCATCTACAAGTGGGCCCCTGGCTGCGGTTCCTCTCCCCCCTGAGTCACTTGGATTCCTCACGAAACTCAAACTGTCCCCACTGGGCAATTATGATGAAAACCGGCCTCTAGCAGGGCCCTCAGCCTGCCACGGAGCGCTGTCTCCGGGCTGCTGCGTCAGCCCCAAACCAGGACGCTCCTGCTCAGTGTGACTTTAAACAATTTTTTTTAAGCAAATATAAATAATACTCACAAAAGGTAGGCTTTGGGGGGTAGAATCCAGGTTACTCTATAAAAGAAAACTGGCTCATTTCTAATGATTTTAAAAATATTCCCAGGGAAAACTAAAAAAAGCTGCTCACCACCTCGCCACCGGGCGCACCTGGAATTTGGCTCCATGAGGCTCCTCTGGGCTCTTTACTCCAGAGTGATGAGGTCATGAGCTTTTGTTTTATGCTGCAAGTGTGCGGTAATTTGTAAAAAAGCCACAAAGTATAATGCGGTGGTGTTTGAAGAAAAGAGACCAATGCAGCCGCCCAGGGAAGGAGGCGGACTCTAAGGAAAACAGGCAGAATGGAAGGTCCACATGGTCGTGAGGTGGACGCTTGCTTCTATTTCCTGTGCCGCTCACTGCACCGGAACAATGAGCAGAGAGTGAAAAGCAGCACTGACTTCCTCGCACCTTTGGCAAATCCTCTGGAACCACCCCTGGCTTGTAGCGTTTACCCCAGGGTTGGGGGTGGGGGGAATTTCCATGTTTGCAAAAAGTCAGCGCTTTGCATATTTCCTCTTTTGGTGCGGGCATTGGCAAATGACATGGAAAGCAGGCGGGTCCCCTGTCCTAATCCAGTGGTACAGGCAGTTCTCAAATAACCAAGAAGGTGGGTCTCAACTATCCACTTGTGTGTCGCTGATTCTGACGCACCTTGCTGAGCACTCGCACCAGAGGAGTCGAACCCTCAAGAAATGCGTGAACAGGGTGGGTCTGAGTAAGAGATCTCGAGCCTCAGCAATGGAACAGAGATGGCTATTTTTTTTCTAAATAGTAATAATAAATGAGGCAATGAGTTCAAATGTTTCTCCTTTTCTTGAACTCTCCCAGGAGACTTTGCATTGCCAACCTTGAGCTTTACTTTTCTGTAGGAGGAGAAAGTGGGAACAGGCTCCCCCGCCTGAACCTGAGCTCTGACCTGGGCTTTCTGAAGCAGAGGCACGTGGTGAAAAATGAACTAAACATTTTTTGAATTGCAAATAAGAAGTGGCCAGTGGAAGGAAAAGCTGTCTAGAAGCAAATGTCTTGTTGCCTTGAATAGGACAGCGCCCGCCCCCCCGCCGCCCCCCTGCCACCCCAAACCTGTCCGGGACAGAGCGGTCAGGTCTCTGGAGCCCTGTTCTCCCCTCCAGGTCCTGAAAGTGGCTTTTTTCCTGGACATTCGGACTTCACTTGGACATTTCATTGCATTTCCTCTTCCAGAGGTTCCTGGAGTTAATACTCCCCGCTCTGTACCTGCAGATGCTTCTGGAGAGCAGAGTGGCTTTTGCACCTCGGTCACCTGTCCAGTCCTGCCCCCAGCCCAGCTCTGCCCTGCAGCCAGGCCTGTGCAGGCCATTCCCTCTCAGCTGCCCACAGGCCCTGCTTCCCGTCTGCTGCCAGTTTCCTCTCCTGCATCTTCTGTTCTGGTTATTGTGAAATAGGAGTAGATACCCGTATGCGTCTAAGCAGGACTTCAACAAGAAATGAGTCTGCAGAAAAGGTACAAGGCAGTGAGAGGTATAAAGGACTTAAATGCTGACAATTACTGATGGGGGGTGTCCCCCTTTACAACCCATAAAATCAGTCACTTTCGAAAATAAAAGATCAAGCAGTTGTTTTTACACCTACCTCAGGAGACAGACATCACAGGCCTGAGTTGAGCAAGTGAAAAGGGCAGTGCTGGCTCTGGACTTCCGCTTCGGAAGATGGAGTCGAACTTTTCCTCTTTCCCTACTAAATTCAGCTGAAACCCACGGGCATTGTCTGTAAAGGAACTAAAGACTCCGCGGTGGAGAGAAGGAGCAGACCAGCTCCGGAGCTCAGGAAGGAGAAGCCACGAGGTGGTGAATTCTCTGGAATTACTCTGCAGCTCATAAACCCCAGTCCTAGGGCTGAAGATGCCAGGACCCTGGAAACGCCAGTAGCTGCAGACAAAGTGTCCAGTCCCCCTCTCTCTAGACACAGGACCACGAGAGGGGCAGCCTCGCAAGACAGAAATTTCGAGAACTGCTCTTACCCAACTAGTACCCCAGGGAGAGCCATGGCCCAGCCCCACCCTCAGAAAGGGCTGAGCAGGGAGCCTGGATTTCCCCTCTGCCAGGCTATAAGGGCAGGGTGGGAGGGGTCAGGAACAGGACCCCGCACCCCCACTCCTTTTGCTATCTATGAGTGAGAATTATGTGGACAGCCTGGGCTCCTACCAGGCACTAACAAGGGGGCCCTTCCACTCCCCACGGGGAGGGGGCGTCAGAGGTCTGAGCAGAGTTGGGATCTTTATCATCCACCAGGGGACGTGAGGAATCTCCCCTGCGGGATCTGGGGAGGCCTGGAGGAATGCAGACCCCCAACCACCCCAATGAGAACGTACCCCACTTCCTTTTCCTGCTGGTATAGTGTCAACGGAAGCTTCCCCTAAATCTAGTCTCGTAACCTGATACCTAAAAGGCCGCCATTTGCCATAAAAATCATTCCTCAGACCCACCTGGAAAGCCTGGCTGGCTGAAGAGCGCTGGACACCCGCTGAGGGCAGGGGCTCGGCAGCGCACGAGGCAGCAGGCAGAGAGTGCTGAGGACTGTCAGGAAGAAGGAACAGTGAGATAGTGAGATGATGGCTTTTCAAGGAGAAGCCTCCTTCTGTGGAGTGAAAACTCTAGGTTTCTCCTCCTAGTCCTTCCTGTGATTCTTTGGACGTTTCCGGTCACTCGATGTGTGCGGGGTTGTCCCACACCAAGCTATTCTGGGACACCAGTCGCGTGTCCTATAACCTGACTCCGTGCTGACAGCAGGGTGGCCAAGCGCCGATGGCCTTCCCCGTGGGGGTGGGGGACGTGGTGGCCAGTGACGGTCCAGGGCCTCAAGATGCAGATTTGGCCCTAGCTTTCCCATCCCTCCCAGGCTCCGCATCCCGCCCCCAGACTTCCCTGGAGCTCAGGAGGGGCACACGCTGCAGCGGGAGCTGGCTGCCTGTGTCTTAGCCCAAATGTTATCTTTGCCTCCTGTGGGATTTCAGTGGATGAAAAATAAAAACTTCTGGTGTGCTGAGCAGTACGTCACCATCCCAGGGGGAAAATCCCCCAGAGAAAGCAAAGTTAAAGCAAGAGAGAGGACATTGGTCACCCGGGGGTGACCCGTTGTCAGAGCGGAAGGCCTAGCTGGTGGCAGGCAGAGGCCTGCAGAGGTGGCTGCACGTGCCGGACAGGTGGCCACGAGGGAACCTCCCAGGTGCTGGGATTTGGGCTTGTGGGTAGGACACGGGGCTCAAGTCTGAGCACTCCACCTGTTTCTGTTCCCCAAGACGTCACTTGTGCCTCACCGTGGCCAGGAGGATCTGATTCTATATTCAAGAACCAAGTACCGTAGACTTCTACCCCAGGGGAGGTGTGGTCTGCCGTAAGCAGCATTCGTGTCCGGACTCACACCGAGTCCTGGCTCTCCAAGCCAGCCTGCAGGAGCCGGCCAGCCCCATTTCTGGCTGTGCACAGCAGTACCCCAACCTAGAACCCCTCCCCCGACCACATGGCCTCTCCTTTAGTCTCTTCCACTCAACCACCGCCAATTTAAATAAAAGGCCTAGCACACCAGTCAGGCAAATACGTTTATTTTTTTAAAATAACTGATGGCAAAATAAAATATTTACATCACATCATACGGTGTAAACATGGAAGGTCTCTGTACAAAGAAATATACATGCAAAATAATGTAAAACTTTAACTGAAATAATAAAAGAAACGATACACAAACAGAAGTTGTGAGGTTACGAATACACATCCAGTTTTGAATCCAATTTCTTTTAAAAAGTTTCTGTACAATTTTACAAGAAACAAACAAAACCCAACAAAAGAATAAATAAAATACACTGGAAGCTGCAAAGCTTAACCACACCCGTTTGTGGCCCAAGATCCAGGTGTCTGGCTGGCTGGGAAGCGGGCGGTTCTCTCTCGGTGTGTTTCACAGGCAGAGATAAAAAGACAGCCAGAAAAAATTCGAGCGTGCCCAGAAACCCATCTCCAGCGGCACGGCCTTCCCTGCCCTGGCGTGAAACCCGCCGCGGTGCCCGGGTCATCTGGAGCCAGCCTCAAGGTGGCTAGTGCTTAATTAGCTTTTATTTCTTACCAAAAAGCTCAAAATCCAGCCAATTTTTTTGTACAGAAAGTTGAACGTCAAAAAGTCTAAAAAGTAGGAAATGTCCAGACTGATTTTGGGGAAAAAAATAATACTTTGGCATTCTGAATAATAGCATAATAAATTTGAAAACATTACCCTATTATCCAGTTTTATATTCAGAGTATGAAATCACTTTTTACAGTCCTCAAAACCGACAAAGTTCACGAAGAGCTCAGTCTCCTGGAATCCATGGCACAGGGCTACGACCCCCCCCGCCCCCCACCCCCACGCACAAAACCATAAAGCTCACCGTACGAAGTATGTGCTTTTTCTATATATTTATTACAGGTACAACAGAGGTCTTCATAAATAGTTGCATAAAATGTTAAAGCCACAACATTGCACATGATATGAAAGAAAACCGCCCCCCACGAGTGCACTTGCAGTCATTGCATCTGACCACACCTCGCAGCCACCTGATGGGCGGCTGGGGGGGCGGCGGGCCGCGGGGGGAGAGGGCCACGGGGCAGGACCCACCTGCTGTCCTGGATAGAGGGCACAACCCTCTGGCCCCCCACCCCCTCAGCGAGCTCCGGGGGGCGGTGGGGAGACCAGAGACCGAAGGCAGGACCAGTCCTATATACAAGTAAGGCCTACATTTCATCAGAGCAAAACGATTCATTCTATTTTGATGCGAGTCTGAGGTTGGATGCACGTTGGAGAAGCCTCGCGGGTGACCTGGCGGGATGCACGCAGGCCGGGCGAGCCCGGCTCTGGACGAGGCCGCCAGGAGACCCCGGGGTCCCTGCGTGGTTCGGTAACACCAGTGGTTGCACATAGGCGTTTCGTTTCCTTGAAGAAATCCTGGAAAATGCTAAATTTGCAAAATTCTATTCGTGTTCATTTAAAAAAGTTTCTTTTTATGTTCTAGCTATTATTTACGTTTGTGTTTGTTTGTTTGTTTTTTTTTTTTGCAGAAACCTGAATAGAAGACAGACGCGCGCGTCAGAGAAGGTCCTCCACCGGCACCCTGCGGCCGGGCCGCCCGGATGCGGTTCCCGATGCGGTTCCACACGAAGCACGGCGCGGCCCCCGCCGCTGCATGGGGGTCTCTCGGAGAGCGAGGGCGCCGCCGCTTGGCAGGTGAAAGAGAATGAGAAAGAGCTGCAGGAAAGGTCAGGCTCTAGGCACAAGCCTGCTCTGTAAGAAGTTTTTCACGCTACGGATGGGTCGAACGTCGTTCTGGTGTTTGCGCCGCTCAATGAACGAGGTCAGTCTGGACGTGTCCAGGACGCCCGCGCCTCTGCCGTGGCCGTGGCCCACCTGCAGCCACTGCTCCTGGAGGGCCAGCGCAGCCGAGGGGCGCTGGGCAGGGTCCTCTCGGAGGAGGAAGCACACGAAATCCTTGGCCTTCTGGCTCACTCCTCGGAAGTAGTCATCCGGGAAACTGAAGTCTAGTCGGCAAATGTTGAGGCACGTCTCCTCCACGCTGTCGTCCAGGAACGGGGACACGCCGCTGAGAAGGACATAGGTGAGCACTCCCACGCTCCACGTGTCCGAGGTCAGGGAGACGGGGTTCCCCAGGATGATTTCGGGGGCTGCGAATTCGGGGTTCCCCAGCAACTGGTGGATGTAGTAGGTGGTGTTGAGTTGGACAGCATCTCCGAAGTCGGCCAGCTTGATGGTGGGCTTGGCTGAGCTCTGGTCCACCAGGATGTTTTCGGGCTGGAAGAGAGAAGACAAGAGTCATGTCCACCGCCGCGCTGCAGGCTCTCGGGCGGGCGGTGTCACGTTGGGGGACGCTGGAGACAGGAGGAAGCTCCCGGCAGGGGTGGGGAGCAGGGATGGCAGCCCAGGGCAGCTCAGGTGTGTGTGGGGGGTTGGTTGGTGGGGTGTGTGTCACATCAGGCCACCTTAGGAAGTCGGGCGTCCCTGTTTACTCCCCGCACTGCTGGTGATGCTCCCTCTTCCCCGAGTCACCCCAGACAGCCCCCTCCAAGCAGCACGGCCCACAGGAACTGCCTAAAGTTCTCACATCACGTTTGTTGATCTCAAATGCTTACCTGGAATTTTACTGATTGTTTATGCGACTGAAAGCAAACTTTTAAAAGCAGAGGGTAGAAACCAGCCCCTCCTGCTTGCCCCCTGACCCCATCCCCTGGGGGCCCCTGGTCTGGACGGGAGGATAAGCGGAGCATGGGCCCGAGCGCCCACACACCCCTCCCCCGGCCCCAGGCCCCTCACCTTTAGGTCCAGGTGTGCTATCCTGCAGTTGTGAAGGTATCGGACGGCTTCCAGAACCTCCCCCAGATAAGCCCTGATCTTCCCTTCGGTGAGGTTTCCCCAGCGCACCACGCAGTCCAGGAGACGCCCCTGGTCAGCCCTGCAGAGGGGAGACATCGCGTGCCGGGTCACATCAGCGATCTCTGGGGTCTGATACGGCTGGATTCCCGTGGTGCTGTTCTGGCCACGACTGCATCAAGAGGGTGAGGTCTCTGCAGCCTCACTGGAGACTCGAGCAGGAGCCCCGAGGGCAGCGGCTCAGGCCCGCCCCTGAAGGGTGGGTGGCAGCACCCCTGGGCAGCTGCCGGGTTGCCTGCACCAGGGAGCAGCCCCACCTCCTCGGCCTTCGTGTCCCCACATGTGACATGGGGCACGTGCAGGCCAGGCCAAGGAGAGGAAGCCAGGTAGAGGCAGCCTGGGGGCAATACCGGCAGCACCAAAGCTACTGAAAAAGTATTTTTAATATCGAAAAGCACAGTGCTGCCACGCACTGGCGACCCGGTGCCTCTGATGAACTTATTTCACCCTCAGGACAACCCTCGGAGAACAGCGCCTTCAGGTCTTCCTTTTCCAGGTGAGGAAGAGGCGCACAGAGGAGGCAGGAACTTGCCCGAGGCCTCACAGCTGGCGAGGAAAGGCCGGCAAGGCAAGGAGGTGGCTCCCGGAACCCTGGTCTCCGCTGCCCTCTGTTGGCAAAAGCAAAAACCACAGGACGACCGGCTACTTGCGGCAATGGGGAGACACAGGAGCGGCCCTTGGCCGCGGGAACAAGAGCCGTGGAAAGGGCCGTGAGGTCAAGCTAAATGGTTCCTCAGGAAATGACTCCAGATGCTGCAATTTTAAAGCAGGGAGGGAGGCTCTGCAGGCTTCTGAGGGGGACCTGGTCTGGTGAAGGATCCCTGGGGAGGGCGAGCAGTAGCTGTGCGCCATCGAACCCCTGCGGCCCGAGAGGCGCCCCAGTCCCCAGAGCCCGGGGGCCGCCCGCGGCCTTAGCTCCTGGGAGCCCCAGCAGCAGCGGGACGCTGGGAGCTGAGGCTCGAGGGCGAGCGGGGTGCACGCACATTTCCAAAACCAGGACGTAGCTGGTGGGGGTCTCGAAGGTGTCCAGGAGGCCGACGAGCAGGGGGTGCTGGAGGCCCTGCAGGGTGCCGAGCTCGCGGGTGACCTGGTCTCGCTTCATCAGCTTCTTGTTCACGAACTTGGTGGCCACTGCCCGCTTGGTTCCCTTCTGGTCACACTTCTTCACGACAGAGAACCTGCCCCTGGAAAGTCGGTGGAGGCCATTTTCAGAAACCGCGTGTGTCCTGGAGAGCAGCGGCCGCGAACACGCACCCCGCCACCCTGGGGGGCCCCGATGGCCTTGCTGGCGCCTCTGTGTGCCGCGTGGCCGTCACTCTCCTCCGAGGGCAGCCCCTGCCCCTGCCCTGGGCCAGACAGCGTCCAGCTCTGCTCCCGCGGAAACTCCCTGAGACTCATCTTTACTGCAGAGGGAAGGTGAGGTCCCCACCCTCGCTCCTTGATCCCCAGCTTCCTAAATGCACACTCGCTGTCCTTGGGCTGTCCGTCATTCTCTGGAATCCACAACCACGTAAGCTCTCCATATGCATGGTATTAAATTTTGGCCTCTCCGCTAGTCAGTCTGATGTCAGTTTTCCTGTCTGTCTGTCTGTCCAGCCTCAGAAGGGACCAGGTGGGAGGGAGTTTCCCCTGGGCCGAGACCCCGTGAGCCACGTGCGAGGCCTTAGCAGTGCCTTGCCCGTCCCTGACCTCAGGCCTGAGCCTGCCATCCCAGGGCGGTGGGGGAGGGCACTGACTGATGAGCACCAGAGTAAGCCCACGGCCAGGGCAGACAGCAGCAGGGGAAAGTGGTCACGACCTTGCTTCTCCTCCCACGAGGGTGGCCCCTGTTTCTCCTCCCTTAAATCTGGGCCACTGGGGCTGCTTGACCCACTGTGTGCTGTGTTGACTTTTGAGGCTGGACCTCAAAAGGCCCAGCAGTTTCTGCCTTTGCCTCCGAATGTTTCTCCCACCACGTGGAGAGGATGAAAGTCTTGGCGCAGAGGCCTGCGAGACGGCGAGGCTGCAGACCCGTGCGTGGGGGCGGGGGTAGGCCAGCTCACCGAGCCCAGGCAAGACCCACAAAGTAAGTGCAACGTGACAGGTCCCTGCTGCCCTGTGTCAGCAGATGCTGGTGGGTGTTTGCACGGCTGATGGACGTGTCGGCGGACACGCAGGTAGGCTGCTGCCCCAAGCCCACAGGGCCTTCCGAGAGGCGAGTTTCTTCAAAAGCCCGACAGGGTCAAGTTCAGTCACATGCTCCAGGCCTCTCGGCCCCCCGGAGCCATGTGAGAGGTGAGTGTGTGTGGACTGGATGGAGAGCAAGAGGGAAAAGCCTGGGTGCCCAGGCTGGAAGAGGGTGGGCTGCACCTTCTGGGCAGAAACAGCCCCATCTCACTCTGCCCAGAGACCCCAACACCCCCCAACCTCCAGGCACCGTGAGACCTGGGGACATGTCCCACCTTTATCAGCTCTTCTACAAGACATTCCATGAGAGAACGAAGTCCTACAAGACATGGTTCCAATGACTATTTTCTGTGTCCTTCCAAGGGCGGACGCAGCCAGCGCTGCTCCCAGTGGAGCAGAAGCATGAACCCGTGACGCGCCCACAAAGGCCAGGTCTTGGGGCTTCATTCTCTCCTGAAGATGGGTTTCACCTCCCTGTACATTTACTTCCCTTCTGTTTAACGTGCAATGCAACCTCAGGCCACATTTCACACAGGGTGCAAGTAACTGGCCAAGCACATGGTGGTTCACCCTCTGCCTCGAGGCCCCGCCCTGCGAGCGCTCCACAGCAGCTCTGGGTTTGGGTCGTACCTGCCGAGCTCGGCCACCTCGATGTAGAAGGAGTCAAAGTTGTCTTTCCAGGTCACCATGATGCCATCACTCCCTGGACCTGCAACGAGAGCAGCGTGTGCCTGAGCTGGGGAGGGCGGCGCTGCCCCAAGTGCGGTCACCTGGCTCCTGAGCTCCTTGAGCTGAGGCTGTGGGGAGGTGGGGGCGGTGCTGAGAGAAGCACACGGGCTGCAGGTGGGGAACCGAGTTGGAAAAAGATGGATTGATGGGGTAGAAATAAGCACACACTGCCTTTCCCGTTATCTTCCTGCTGCAGTAACCATGGTACGAAGGCTTGTCCATCTCTCTTATTTTTAGTGGAGAGTTAGTTAACAAAAAACTCCCCTGCACAATTGCTGTGGTATCTTTTAAACATGAGCACATCGTGACTCTTTACCTTCAAATGCAAGATTTTCATTCTTTCTTGGGCCGTGATCCAAGAATCCTAACTCTTCCTTGGACTTCATGAGATTAAAATGTATGCAAGGAAAGTTTAAGACAATTTGGTTTCCTGTGCACAGTTCAGATTTTTACCCCTGCGCTCGGAAGCAGTTTCCCACCGGAGGCCGCTGCAGATGCAGTGAGACGTCTCAGCAGCCCCCACTGCACACCTGGTCTTGTGCCAAATGGTATTTGGAAATCAGTGCAGCTGGCTCCTGCACATCTGCGTCAGGGGCACCTGCAGGAAATCCTAAAAGGCCTGAGATGTGGGTTCTGCCTCTCTGGCTGGAGGCTGAGCAGAGGAGAGAGAACAGGGCGTCAGACCAGACGGACAGGGAGGGTCCCGTGGCGGATGCCTCGCTCATGGAAGGGACAGACGACATGGCCACCCGGGACGGGTGCTGCTCGGGCCCAGGACAGGCAGGGAGTCGGCCCAGGCCTGGAGCTCCGGCTCAGCCTCCCTTCCTTCCTTTAATGTATTTTATAGGAGGTTTGCTTGGATCCACTGGGATTAGCGTCTCAGCGCCAAAGATGAGTAACTGGGTAACAGTGAGTTGGGTGGATGTGAGGATATGCTGGAGTCCTGAGAGCAGAGAAAGCACCTTGTCCAACTCAGAGGCTGCAACGAGAGGCCCAAGCGCCCTGTGGCCAGGCCTGCACTGTGTGTGCCCTGCCCAGGACTGGGGCTGGCACCTGAGCTCCCACTGGAGGCCCTGGGAGTGACTCGTTACAGGCTCACCTCACGTCAGCTGTCAGGGGACACACACCCTGGCTTGGGCAGCTTACCTAGAACCCTCAGACTGGCCGCCGAGGAGGCCGAACCCATGTCATTGACGGCGATGCAGGTGTAGATGCCGTCGTCCTCGGTGGTCACGCCGACGATCTTCAGGGCGGCCTCTCCTAAGTCACTACCATGGAGAAGAGATGGTCAGGAGGCCCAGCCCCGGCCACCACCTCGCCCTGCGGCCCTGCAACCTCTGCCCTCCGGGGTCACGGGAATTAGGAGGCCATCTCCGGCTGGAGGTGCAGTGGGAGCTTAATTTTGGTTGCAGAGCCACGTCCGAGAAGCTCCCTGGGGGGCCCTCACCTGTAGGAGATGCTGTAGTGGCCGTCGTTGCTCAAGGTGTTGTGTTCAGGGCCCTTCCAGGTGACGGAGGCCTTGGGGCGGCCACAAACACGACATCTGAAGACAACGGTCTCCCCTGTCTCACACGTGACCTCGCTCAAGGGAATGACGAAATCTGGGGGAACTGCATGCGAGAGCCGGTGGTGAATAGGGGTGCCCGCTCTCCTCCCGCACCCACCGCTTCCCTGGCTCACAGATGAGCCCAGAGCCCCACAGAAAACCCGTCTCCAGGCCGCGCCCCAGACCAGCACCCTGCACCCAGCACCCTGGGGTCCGCGCCCCAGACCAGGACCCTCGCACTCACCGTCATAAATGTAGCTGGGATTGAGAAGCTGAAACGGAAAGAGCACAGGGCATGAGCCAAAGCAGGAGCTCAGGTGACCGACGTCCACTCCAGGGGTACTGCCTCCCCCGAAGAGGAGCAGAGGCCTCCCTCGGCCTCCGCGGGCACCAATCAGGACAGGCCTGTGGGGCGCGCGGAGCTTCGCGTCGGGCTAATTTGGAAGAGCCGTTTTCTTCTACCCACAAACTCAAAAGCTGCGTGAACACCAGCCGTCCGGGTCTCTCACCCTTCGGCTGAGTCCGGCTGAGCCCCAGATCCTCCCTCCTGCACAGTGGTCAGTGCCCTGACCCAGGGTCTTCGGATTCCCTGTAGGGCGTATTTCCTTTTATTCCAGGCAAAGCCACGCAGATTTAAGGCCGCCTGATTATAGGGGAGTAAAGCTGATGGACGCAGCCACCGAGGGAATTTGCTAGAACCGGTGAGTCTGGCTCTGCGTCCAGTGCCCGTCCCCACGGCCCGAGGGGGCAGTGAAGGAGCCTGGGCCACGGCTGCCTTGCACGCCCTCTGCTCCGGAGACGCCAGGCTCCGCTGCCTCCGGAACCTAGCGACGGTGCCCTCTGAAGCTACTCGCACACCTGGCGAGGGGTTCTCATGTGTGCCTGGTTCCTTCTAACTGGGGGTGCACCGTGCCAGCCTGCAGGGTCCCACCAGCCCCTGCCCGGCCCGTGGGCCCTGCTCGTGGGCTGAGGGAGAGCGCTGCAGAGGCCGAGGGAGAGCGCTGCAGAGCAGGCCAGGTGCCGCTGGGACCCCCGCGCCGCCGCTCCCCGGGAGAGACGCGGGCGCTCACCTTCACAGATACCTTGTTGCTGAGTCCTTCTCGCGATTTCCGGTAACCGTTCTCCAACTTGCCTTCCCGTTTGCCGTCCTTATCTTTTTTCTCAGATTTTTTCCTTAAACGGAGTGCTGTGTGCCAAGATGTTGACTTCCTAGGGGGACATGACCCAGTTAGTCCCCCTTCGACCGCAGGGAAGGGGGCGCCAGACCCTCCAAGGTCTGAAGCCGCAATTAGGAGAGAGTTCTGGCCTGCACTCTGTGCCCCACATACCATGTCCCCCCTCACTCCTATGATGAAGTTTAATTTATAAGTTAGCAAAGTAAGAGATGAGCAATACCTACTAATACAGCGATTATAAATACGCTACAACAAAAGTTACGTGAATGATCTCGCGCTCCTGAAATGCTGTTTTGGATGTAGTATTTGCAGACTGTGGGCGACTGAATCAGAAAGCCAAACTGGGAAGAGTTTAAAACCAGCACCCAAATTCAGCTTTCTTTAAAATAACGTTGTGGGGCCTTTCTGGTGGTGCAAGGGGTTAAGATGCAACCCATGAAGCTTCTGCAGCCACTGCAGCACGAGTTCCATCCCCGGCCAGGGAGCTACCCACAGGGCGCAGCAGACCTCTCCTGACTCGCCTGCTGCTCCCCTCAGCAGTGGATTTCAGTCGATCTGCCTGTTCTGCTCCCCGCTCTGGCTCTGGTGATCCCCTCACCCCCCACACCTCTGGCCTGTACCCCAGTGCCTGTATGCATGAATAAATAAATCTTTAAAAAAAACAACGTTGAATGCAGCAACATTGGTTTCAAGTTTCTTAATGGAGTCAATCTTCTAGTAGCTATAAAGCGTGAGGGTGATGGCGTTACACAGATCTTTACCTCCAGCTGACAGACGGGCATCTTCACTGATGCGTGCCCAGCACACCCCTCTCAATGAGTTGGGGGTCCCGAGAAAGTCTGACCCCCCCAATCCTCCAGGTACTAAACTACTGACATGTTCTCTCCAGCAGCTTGAAAAAGCGTGCTTATGCATGCAGCATGTGAAAAGAACCTGCTAGAACATGGCTGCTCACGGGAACCCCGTCTTCACTGTGGGTTCCACGCCGGGCTCAGAGAGATGAACCCGCAGACAGACACCAGCGCAGCTCCCTGGGGTGGCGTCACGCTCCAGGGCCTCCAGCCCCCGCCCTGGCCTCAGCGCCGGGCACTCACTTGAGAGTCCCGTCGGGGTTGTCGATGATGACTGCGCTGGTGTGGCCCAGGACGAAGCCCGGGATCCAGCCCTCGGCGGCGGGGCACTGGTCGGTGGCGGCGCGGAACACCAGAAACATGTTCTGCTGGTTGCTGGCCAGAACTTGAACGACCTCTCCTTGGCAGACGTTGATCTCATCCTCCTTCACTGCCGTGTAATCGTGTGTCACCAGCATGGTGGAGATGTTGCTACTGCTGCTGCTTTCACTCTGCAGAGGGCAAGACGGAGAAGGCAAGACGCGCTGGCGTGAGATCCGCCACCGGAGGACCTTCGGTGGGTCACGATGCCCAGCAGGCCCCCCACAGGCCTGGGCGCCTGCTCTCCCCGCTCTCTTTGGCTCACGGTGTGCCTCCCTGTCAATGACCGAAAAGCTGGATTTCTCTAGAAAGCCACTGAGGAGCGCTCTCCAACACACCCGTGATGACCCTGGGTTTTCGGAAGCCCGGTTATCATTGTGGTCCCATGGTCCCTGCGCCCTGAGCCCTCACGCTGGTGCCACGCTGAGTTCTATCTCTGCGGTGGGGAAGGTCGTGCTTATTTTGAAAAGTAGGATGAAATGGCAAAGCCGCCTGGAGTAGCTCTTCAGTTCCCTGGCGGATTGCATGGTGGAGGAGCACCCAGATCTGCCAGATAACAAGCTCAGGGAGAGGGTAGCGCCCTCCTCTCTTGCCTGACTAGAAGAGAAAGCCTGAGACCTGCGAAGGAAAGCAACTACTTTATCTGCTCTCGGGGCACGTGCCTCTGCCTTCTCTGCGCCCCTCGTGGGGGGCCTCTGAGGGGCCCGCCCGGCCGACTGTCCCCAAGGCCCGTGATTTCCTCAGACAGCCAAGAGCAGCTGTGGGTGCCCCTGGCTCTGGGACTCAAGTTTCAGGAACAGACCCTCATGGGGCACAGCCTGTCTCCTCTTATCCTGCAGCCCCACAAATCTCCCAAAAGACTACCCTATCTTTGGGGTCCGTGACTGTGACTAACAAGCAGCAGGCACTCTGCAGGCGCTCAGGAGCTCGGCCCCTGCGACAAGGTTGCAAAAGCAAACAGGCCTTCCTAAGGCCGCCCTTCCAAGCCCACAAGCTGAGAGGTGGTAGCTAAACAGAAGAATCACAGGCAGCATGTCCCAAGCGGCCATTCATGAAGGGAGCCTTTTGCTCCAGGGGAGGAGGAAGAAGGTGGGGCTGCTGCCCGATCCTGACCTACATCTGCCCACGCCCCTCGGCCAGCAGCGGTAGGCACCCTGCTCCTGGCAGCTGGCGTTCAGAGGTGGTCACCCACGATGCTGTCGGACGGTCAGGCGTCCCCAGGGTTCTGCAGAGGCCAGCCTCCGCTGGGCTCCGCCCGGGGAGGGTCCTGGGCCAGCGCAGGCGTGACTGTCACACGGCCCTGCCACATGTCTGTCGGCCCCTGGCCTACTGAGCTGCTGTTGGGGCACGCCAGAGATGGCCGCTGACCACTGTCCTGAGCCAGGTCGAAGGGATGAGAGAGGAGGGCCCTTGCTGCTGTCCTCTGGGAGGCAGCGCCCAGGCAGCCGCCACGCCAGAGCGCTGGGGCGATGGGTGGAGACTCCCGGGGATGTGCAAATTCAAACCACAGGAGCTCGGCTGAGGGGCCGGCCGTGGGCCCCATCCCTCGTGGGCCCCCCTGTGTCCACCTCAAGCTTTGGCCTGTGCATGCTCACTGATAAGCTTCATCCTTCAGTATCCCGGCTTATCTAGTGACACCCTAGAGTTTGGAGACCACAAAGCTAGAAAACGTCAACAAAAAACAACTTCTCCGGCACAGTTGCTCTTGGTAACACCCCCCGCCCCCACCCCGGAGTTGTCTTTTCAGTATTTTGCCATATTATAATGGCTTTTCGTGGCTTCTGAACACCTCCTATGTGCCAGCCGTCTAAAATCTCTCACCTGAAGCTCACAGTCGCCTTGTCAGAGGCCCAGTCTCCACCCCTAGAGGGTGAGGCTGGTGGACTTGCCTCCCTCCCCCGCCCCCCCCCGGAAAGGCAGGGCTGCGTCTGTGGTGCTGTCCAGGGGCGTGGGTGTGGGAAGTGAATCCACACCCACATGACTCCTTTCAGCAGAACTTTCTAGAAGGTGCCCACTGAAGGCGGAAGAAGAACTGGGGCTGTGGGTTAGTCACGGCTGCTTGGCTGTGGCCACAGACAGCTCCGCAGAAGAGGTCGAGGAGGAAGCAGGTGAGAGCTGGCCCGCGGTGGACGGAGGGCCTGGGGATGGGGGTGTGTGGGGCAGGACCACGGTTCTTTTTAACGGCTGTATGTGTCAGTCCCGGAGGACTTCTTCAAGCCCCCAGCTGAGGCCGTGGTGCTCTTGCCAGGCCGCTAGGGCCTTTCCATGAGACATTCTGACTCATCTGAAACATTGGCACCTTCCCTTTCCACGTCATCTACTGCATGGAAAGTGAGAACCGGAGTAAGAGGGGACTTCTTCGCCTAGAACTTGCCGGAACACGTGCCACTGCATGTCAGGGGGAGGAGGCCCTTCTTTGTGGATACCCAGAGACTACGGGCTCCTGCGTTGGAGCCGCTGGGTGTTCCTTCTGAGACATGGACCCGGGGCCTTGGCGCTCAAGGGCCAAGTGTCCAGGCTGGGACGGACGAGCTCAAAGCTGCCCCCCCGGCCCACGCCCCGGGTCCTGGCCGCGCTGCCCAGCGAGTGTCCGGCCGGGTGCCGGCGCCTGCGGCCTCTCGGGGCTCCTGTCCCGTGACCTCACCTGCCAGCCCCGCGCGTCACACACAGAGGGAGGCCGCGCCACCCCGGGGCCCGGCCGGGCCCGTGACAAGGCCGCTGGCGACGGCCTCTGCGGAGGAAGCCTGTCCCCACCGCTCGGTTTCCAGAGTGAGACTCAGGGTCACCGTCACACATACCAAGGTCCCGTTCTTAATCTCTGCCTCAGTTAAACAGAGGTGGAGCTGAACACAGAGAGGTGAGAGGAACAGGAGGAAGGGAGGCGGCCAGGTGAGCCCCGCCAGGCACGCCAGGAGCGCAGAGGAGAGAGACATGCAGAAGCAGGTGGTGGTGCAGAAAGAGAGACACAGACCCTTTTAGGGAAATGTATTTAAAAATTTATAAAGCAGTCAAGCGTACACTCGCGAGCGCGGCTCTGCCCTCTCTCGCATGCCTCCGGGAAAGTGCTGTGGGGGGCCGTCTGCGTGTCGGACACCGCGGGGCGGGACAGTGAGGAAGCCGGAAAGGGGGGGCCCCCACCCCGGCAGCGCCTGGGCCGCCAGGGGGCCCGGGCGCGAGGGGTGCGGGCGCTGCAGCCCGCAGGGGTCCCCGCCGGGGCCGCCGTCGGGCCGCGCGGTCTCTCGCGCCCGGCGGGCCCGGGGGCGCGTGTGTCCGCGGGTGGTGGGGGGGCTGGGGGGGCCACGCCCGCCCCCCGCGGTCCGCTCAGGCTGCTGAGGGGCCGTGGAAGGTTCCAGAGGGCCCGCGTGTCGGCGAGTCGCGGCGCGGCGCGGCGGCTTAAGGCAGAGGCGGCGCCCCGGGCGGCGGCGTCGGGCGCCGGGTTAGTAGCGGCCGGGCGGTTAGTGGCGGGCGGCGGCGTCCTCCGGCGGCGGGAGGAGCTGGCGCGGGCCGCCGGGCGTTCTTACCCCGTTGCTGTGCGTGGACTGCACGGACTGCTCGCTGGCCGACGAGCACGTGCTCATGCGGTCGGTGTCCTTGCCGGGGGCCGCGGCGCGGGGCGCCGGCCGCTGCGGGGCGTCGCCGTCGCCCGGGAAGGCGAAGGCGCCCGGCCGGCCGGCGGGGGAGGCGGGCGCGGGGCTCCGGACGGCGCCCCCCTTCTGCGGCGGGCTGCGGGGCGGCGGCTCCTGGGCGCGGGGCGCGGCCGGCGGCGGGTCCAGGGGCGGCCCGGGCCGCGGCCTCCCCGGGGCCGGCGCGCCCGGGCCGCGCGCGCGCCCGTCCTGGTCCTCGCGGGCGCCGCCGTCGGGGCTGGGCTGGCGGGCGCGCTCCGTGGCCTTCGTCCTGGGGGGCTCGGCGCCCTCGGCGGCGGCGGGGGGCGCCCGGCCGGGCTCGGGCGCGGGGCCGCTGCTGGGGGGAGGCGGAGGAGGGCCCGGGGCGCACGTACCTGACATCTTGTCCGCCTCCGCCGGGCCCGGCGCGGCGGCGGACACCAGCACCGGCGAGTGGTGCCGGACGGGCTGCGGGATCCGCGACGGCCGGCTCCGGCCCGCGCTGGGGGCGCCGCCGCCGCCGGGGGGGCCGCCGCCGTGGTTGCCGCCGCCGGGGGCGCCCCCGCTGTGGTTCCGCTGGTACTCGATGGGCGACGTCAGGGCTGCGGACAGGAGACGGGGTTCCAGGGGGGCCGCGCGGGCCGGGGGGCCGCGCAGGCGGAGAGGGTGGGCGCCGCTCTCGGGCCCCGCGGTCGTGGGGCGACGGGCAGCTTCCACCCTCAGGACCCCGAAACACGCAGCCCGCAGGCAGCACCCGGACCCCCGGGGCTCCAGGAGGGGCGACCTCAGGACCGGCAGGGGGACCTCAACTGCCCGGGGCGGCCGTGCAAGGGCCTGCCCAGCACCCCAGAGGCGCACAGAGCCCCCGGGGCTGGGGCTGGGAGACTCAGTCATTACAGAGCCGCTGGCAGGAGACGTGCCCAGGAAGATACACAGACACACGGACACACGGACACAGTCTGAACTGCTAAGGCCCTGGGGACGCAGGACAGCCCACCCCGCCCTCCTGCCCCGAGGCCTCCGGCGAGAGGGCAGCGGCGGCCTGGCCTGCGGCCTGTGAGCTCCCGGGGGGCGGGAAGGCGGAGAAGGGGCTGACCACCTAGATCTTGCGCACCTGACCCCCTGGAACAGCCTGTTCACTAGACTGAGTGTCCAGCAAGCGCCAACAGCATGGCCTACGCATGCGTGCAATTTGGGAGGCTGCTTATTTTTTAAGGATGGTGAAAATTTAGTGATTTCCCCCTAGTGACAAGCTACGGATTTGCATTGAGGGCACCGCTCAAGATCAGCGCAGTTAAAGAGCCCTGCGTTTGCTCTAGGGCAGGGGTGTGGAGGCTTCTGCTGGGGCACAGGCACCCTCCACCCAGCTCCCCGCCCCCGCTCCCTCCTGACTGTAACTGTAATGGCCAGTCTACTCTTGGAGGGCAGCTTGGAGTTAACACCAGGGTAGAGATGGCAGGTGAGCTTGATTTTTCACGGTGTTCCTGGCTCCTGAATGTCACGAGAGGCACCGGGTGGCTTTATCGTGACAGAAACGACAACCTTCTTCTAGACAGGGCACGGACATGCAACATGGACACAGAGAAACAGGCAAAGAAATGACACGAAATGAGCCTTCGGCTGCCGAGCGAATTCTGGAAACTCCTCCGTGATCACCAAGTAAGGACGCGTCTAGGTCAGCAGTTGGAGGAGAGGCAAGCGGTTCGGGTCATGGAAATAGGGTCAGAGTAACTCTCTACAATGTAAGGACAGTGTGGCCGCTCTCTTTCGGGGAAGTCATCTCCTCCGAGGTGTTCTGCACGTAATTACTGTATTGCATCCACTGGTCCTTGGTAACCGCTGATGTCACGGAAGCAGGAAGAAAATAAATGTGTCCTTGTCTTCACAGAGGAGGGAGGTGTGGACGTGTGCAGTCGGACACCACTTTAAACTGCACTGAAGACTCTCCTGCACCTCTGGCCAACTCTATGTGCTGCCTTTGCTTTTCTCGAGCATTCCTTTGCCAAGACAGGGCTGGGGAGCGCAGTGCGTGCACAGTGGGGCCTGCCCTGGTGAGGAATGCAAGCCCAGGAGCCAGGCCCCGAGCAAACTGCCAGTGCAGCGGCGCCTCAGCTTCCTGGCCTGGGAGGCGCTGTCGCCCTTCCCATGAGGGTCGCTGTACACACACGGACGGTCTCAGAACGAGGAGGAGAGAAACAGGAACGTGCATGGGGGAAAGGAACTACACTGGGCGAGAGGACACACATTACCATTTAAGAAATTGCGCTGGTTTTCTAAAATTTGGTTGATTTCGTGGATCCACGCTTGCCGGACACTGGGACTGGACGAATGCAAAATGAAGGTCTCCACCACGTCACCCGTCCTCGACGTCAGAGCAAATTTGCAGGGATCGTTTTCCACATTTTCCTCCAGGCAGAGGCAACTCACCTTCAAACAAATCAAAGCACTGTTCACAACAGCCAAACAGTGGAAGCGACCCGAGGGCCGTCTGTGCGTACAAGGGGGCACCCTCGGTCACAGAGACGTCCTGCCCCGGGCCAGCATGCGTGGGCCAAGACACTGTGCTATGCGAGGGATGATGGTCGCGGGAGAACTACCTGACTTCACCCACAGGGGCGCACCAGCAGTGGGGTGCAGACTGGGGCCGTGGAGGTGGAGGGCGAGTGATGGGCTTTGGGGGAAGGAGGCAGCGTTTCATGGTTCCGAGTTTCATTTTGCAAGATGAAGAGTCCTCGGAAGGCTGGGGGTGACCCGGGAAGGCTGGGGGGGGTACCCCTTGGAAGGCTGGGGATGCCCGCAAAGGCTAGGGGTGACAGCTGTACAATTGTGTGGACCTACGGATTGCCACGGAAGCCCCTGCTTACAAAGGGTCAAGATGGTACATCTTGTGTGTGTGTCTGTTTTCCGTAGTGAGAAGCCCAAAGCCCATCTGTTACTACTGGTCCAGTGCAAAGTGCAGGTCATCATATGCCAAGTTGAAACCAATGCTTTTGGGCCGAGCTGTGTTTTCACTGCCTCAGAAATCATTACCCTGAAGCTTTTCAATGACTTTTAACTGGGGAAGTGGAGAGGACCGAGAGTTTAACTGACAGTTTGACTAATTAGCCAGAACGCCCAGGGATTACCTGCTTGCAAAAGTGCTACAGGATGCCCCGCTGTTACCCTTACTTCGTGCTCAGGAATTAAATGACACCCTTTAAAAAAATCCGGTATATTAACATAACGTGTGTTAAGAAGTGATGTGTGGGGAGTGCAAGGTAACGCTACTAAACAGACTAGGAAAGTAACAGACAAAGAGAATTTTCCTGTTCTGGTGACTGACGGTGGGTGTAAGAGGGGCGGGCCCGAGGCCCAGCTCTCTGCAGCCAGAAGGATGGGGGTGGGGGCCAGCGTCCAGGTGTGTGCTGAGGTCTTGGGGTTCAGGGGGCCTCCGAGGGCTGCCCCTGCCCTGACAGGGGCCCAGGAAGCGGAGGCCCCACACAGGAAGCGCGTTTCCCTTCTGGCAACAGCAGCCACAGCTCGGCAGCGGGAAGGGGCAGGCGTGAGGGCGCTGGCCTCGGGATCGTCTGCTGCTTTTCTCGCTCTCCCCCTGCTCTGTCCCCTTTACAGGAGCCTGGGTCGTCTTCAATTATTTTGTCTATTTATTATTTGTGGTTCTCTGCCATGAGAGAACAGGCTACCCCAGGGCTGCCCCGGGGCAGTAGCCCAGCTACCAGCTCTGAGCCCCAATGAGTGTTAGTGGTCGGAGAGAAGGTGGGGCTCAAGCCACCCAGGGAGAGGTCCTGTCGCCCTGCTGAGAAGGAAGGGCTGTGGTCAGAGGTGTGGGAGGGGGCATCAGCCCCCGGAGGGCCAGGCAGGAGAGAGTGCTGTGGATGTAAAGGTTCTGGAACCCACCAAAAATTTCTCGCAATACTTAATAAAGGAGCAGGACAGGGCATCATGGGAAAGGAGGCAGCTTGCAGGCAGAGGGCCAGGACCGAGCTGTTACCTTGATGCTGTTCTTGAACAGGAATCCCGGCATGGAGAAGCCTTTCTTCTTATCAAGGGGTTCGCTGAAAATGACAATCTGCTCGAAGAGGAAGACCCGCCTCTCCCTGCAGCGGGGGAGGAGGCCAGCGTCGTGGTCTGTGACCAAGAAGGTGTCCTGCAGGAGCAGCTTGCCCTGGGCGACGATTTTACCCTAAGCAAGGAAGAGGAGAGAAAACACGGCCTTCTTAGTTCAGGTGGACGAGGTCTGATTTCTTTAGCGTTCTTCCCACATACTGACAGATTCCTCTTTTATTATAGAGCTTAACTTCTCCTCCGTTCACTATAAAGACGTCTAGTCCCACATCAACAATGACCTAAATAAGAATTCTTGCCAAGCTTTGTATAAATTCACTGGCCTCAGCCACAATCAGACTGGCAGTGGGGCCTAGAGTGTCTGCTTCACCCCGGGAGACAGGGGCTGCTCCTCCCGCTGGGCCTGGCAGCTCCAGCACCCCAGTGGGCCCCGCGGCGCTACACCCCAGCGAGTCCCGTAAGAAGCGCATGGGAACTGGAGTTTTCAGAAGCTCTCCGGGTGCCCATGTGTGCTTATGTTGAGAACTACAGAACCAGAACCTTAAATCTGAATTCTCCAGCAGAACAGTAGGCAAAAAGGGGAAATCTCCCATCTCCTCACTCAATAGTTACATTTAAAGAGAAAATATAAAAAGGCTGCGGTTCCGAACAGCTCAGCTCACAGGAGCGCCTGTTAGATGCAGGGGCACGTGGGACCCTGGAGGCAAGCTCCCGGGGTGACAGATGGGGAGGGGGTCCTGCTTCCCACTGCCTGCGGGAACCCCACCGTCTCAGCAGCAGGATGCCTGGAGACAGAGCAGAGTCCTGCCTGTGTCCACCAGGAGGCCCCCAACACAGATCACATGCACCCGAAAGAAGTCGGAGGTGGCTCCGTCGGGTAGAAGCGGAGGGAAAAAAGACAGAGGACTAAGTGTAAAGCGTTCAGTTTTCTACAGGGGGTGAGAAGGAGTCCCAGACTAAAGCAAGGCACGGCAGCGCCGGAGCCCGTATAAAGGAGAATTGCATTACGTCGAATCCCTGCAGCCGCCCGACGGTCATCATGTCGTTGCACCGCTTTGGCACGATGCACATGACCTCCACGGCTCTCTGGGGCAGGAGAGAACAGAGCAGCGTCAGCTTCCCCGGGGACGAGGGGCCCTCGTGACCACACGTGCATGCCCAGCGCAGACCCCGCCCTCCCGCCTGCCCACCCGGTGCAGGGGCTCAGGCAGGGGATGCCAAGACTGGCGCCCACTGTGACCACCCTCCCTGGGCCTGGCCCCTCCGGGGACATTCGGGATTAATGGAGGGGCTGGGGAGCCGGGGAGTGCCCTGCGGGCACTGAAGTACCTCCAATTCCGAAGTATCCAGGCTGGCTTTTTTGGAGTACTTGAGGAAGTCCTGCAGGGAGAGAAGAGGACATGCGGGTGAGGTCTCGGCGCAGCTGAGCCTCCTGATCACATACCACGCCCAGGCACGGGGAAGCCCCTTCCTTCACTTCTCATTGTCCCTCCCAGTAACACGGGGACAGTGTCCCTCGGGGAGCTCAAGGCCGGACCAACTGGGTCCAGGAGGTTCTAAGAGGTTCCTGCCTCCCTCTGAGACAAGCGCCGGCTCTCTGTATCTAGGTGCTGCGTTTTATATTCAAAGGAATCTCGAGGCAACTGACACAGTCGTTTTCATCAAGGAAAAGTGTGCCGCTGCCTGTAGCTCTGCTCGGGGATTTCTGTCAGCCGAGGGCTACTCGTGAGCCAACAGAAAGGAACGGTGGGACCAAAAAACCTCATTTGATCCACGGCTCCAAGATCTGAATATAGGTAAGGCCAAGAAAAATCATTACTATTCAAAGATCTGTGGTGCGGAAAAAGTTCACTTTCACTGGCACTTGATTCGGAACCTGACGGGCATGAAACATGGAGGGGAGAAGGAGGAAGTTCAAGTATCTGAAGTCAGAAGTAATGAGACGGCTCTCAGCTTCGCACAGCAGAGACTGCCCTCGCCAGCCCTGCGTCCCGCCCCGAGGCCGATACCAGGCCCACCCGCCTGGCCTCACCTTTAGCAACAGCTGGTACTTCATGATCCTCTGCACGGGCTTGATCAACAGATCTGTGAGCTGCAACCTGTGGCCGAGGCGCTGCTTCAAGTCCTGTGGTTTCAGGGGAGAAAGAAGGTCTCACGTGATGTCCCGTCAAGGGTCACTGTTCAGTCCTTGCAGTCACCGGGCGTGCGCAGGACAGAAGCCGTCAGTCAAAATGACCGGAGGCCACGTGAACCTTCTGGGCTGTCTTCAAGGTCTTGTAAGTTTGTTAAAGGACCTTCTCCATGCAATTGCTTTCTTTTGCGCATCAAGTATTTCATTTTGAGGTCCAAAATTTTGATCATGAATCATGAGGCTGAAGTTTAAAACCGATAAAAAAGCCCATTTTAACAGTCACCTTAAGGCCAAGGGGAGTGACTTAGAATTCTAGTCACCTCTCTGCTTTATAGACAGAGACAAATACAGGTTTGGATTTCTCGTAACCGAGAACCACCATTTTCGGAGGATGGTTAACCTTCCTGGAAATAAGAATATTTTAATATGTCAATGTTACAAGTGAAGTAGAGTATTATTTCGGAAATCAACTGTAAGAAAAGATCCAGAAATACTTTGTTTCTATCTTAGGTCTTACCTCAAAAAAGGTATCAATGTATTCAGAGACAATGTGCTCGGACTTTGGTTTATTTTGACAATAAACTATGTACATGTGCAGCCTTCTCTCCTGGAAAATGAAGGCAGACAGGTTAAGGCAAGGGGCGCCCAGTGGCACAGCCCGCGCGTCTCGGCTATCTTCAAGGAAACAGTTTGGAACACAAGTGCCAGGTGCAGGTGCGGGGGCACCTTCCAGATTCACAACGTCGTCAGCACCTGCCCCACGGCTCCCCACGCACAGCCCGGGGTCCCTGCCTCAGCACCAGAGGCAGCGAAAGGACATGGATCTTAACTCACTGGTCCCTCTTGTCCCCTGACTGGCTGGAGACCCTCACGACCCCCGCCCACACACACACCACTGCCACGAAAGGAGCAGGGCCGCAGCCTCTTACAGACTTTACGTGAAAGAGGCCGAGGCCAAGTATCTTTTACACCTGGGTATCTAGCGGAGGTTTTCTTGAACAAAATAAGCCTGTCATTTTAAAGCAGACAACTGCAATGTCTGTTAAAAATGAAAATGTAGGATTTGAAACCAAAATGAGAGTTTGGAAAACACGCCTCTGCCAGCGTGAACCTGACGAAACGTGATGACTCTGGGAAGATGATGGCCGACATGCAGGCTCTGATCTTTGATGTCGTGTGGGGAAGGCCTGCCGAGGCCAGGCGCCCTTACCCTGGCATCATGAGCTGGGGCACAGGGGAGAGGCTTTAAGTGCAAGGCCGCTGAGTGGACTCTGAGACAGTGAGGGCCAAGCGACTGCTGGGTTTCTAGAGTCCATGCGCAGCTACGCTCGAGGGTTTATTACCCGCTAGGCTTTGCTGTGGTACCTAAAAAACTGTTAACTACCTGGAAAGGCTACTAAAATACCTTTCTCTTTCCAACTATACACCTGTGCGAGCATGGACCTTTTTATATATGTTTCAGCCAAAATCATATACCACAAGACAATGATGTAGAAGAGATAGGGCTGTTTCAGGGAGTCAGGGGCCCAAGAAGATTTGTAAAAACTCTTGTCATTCCTTTTTTTTTTTTCCATAGAGCAATATTTCAGTGAGAAACTTCTAATGTCAACACACATTTTAGCTAAACACAAATACCTGGCTGAGTGTTAAACCCACTGCACCTTTACGTACACCTGCCCGGACCACTCCCCTCTCCCCCAGGTCCCGCTAGGCGGGGAACGGAGCAAGAGGGTCAGTCCCAGGTGGAAGGGCTGGAGGGGGCTTTAATTCCCATTTGCGATCACTGCACCGTTTGATTTTATTCTTAAAATAAGCACGTGTATAACCTACGTGCTCTGCTTTAATCGGACAGGCCAGTGACGAAACGCGACCTACCAAAACAGGCTATCAGTAACGCTGTTCTACTCACATGTTTAACAAAAAGGGATCCTAGTTTTTCCGGATCTTCAAGGCACTTCTCCAACTCTCCTAAAAAAAAGCTGAAACGAAAGGAGAAATATTAGTACCACTTCCAATTTGGCCTTCTAACTAGATGGAGGTTTCTATTTGCAAAATAGTTTGTTTTGACATGAGCAATTCCAGACATGATGTGCACAGAAAACACTTTGTTAGGACAGAAAGCAGAAAGAGACACAGCTCAAAACAAGGCAGAACAAGACCACCTTTGACTGGCGGCTTCCCTTCCACGGGACAATCAACATGTTTGCCTGTTTTTAAAAAACAAAATTCCCTGGCTAAGTATTTAGTCAAAAACATCAATATTGCAAAGCAATTGGTCATTTCTATTTCCAAAAACTTGGTCCTTAAGTTTCCTATTTATCCAATTATAATTTTAAAAGGCTCAAATTGGATACTAGATAAAAATAATATGTTACCTGTACCAGTTTTATAAAGGTTTCACTCCTAGGTTATAAGTATTAGCTCCCATTAAAATGAAAACGAGGAATAGTCTTAGGTCAGCTGCTCTTCACTACTTCTGGGTTGTAGCTGGCTTTACGATGTGTGCCCAGCGTAATGATCACTTACTCTACTAATATTTACCATTGTTATTAACCAGCAAAGCAGCTTACCAGCTACTGCTGTGCTGAACTGTCCAGTGCTTGGGGTCTTAATGTCCCCCAGCTCTGCGGAGACTCACTGGCCAGACACTACCCTTGGTGCCACTGCTGCCTGGTCACCCATGCTCCTAGGGTGTAGGCTAGAGGTACGGGGGCTGAGAGGATTCACCAGAGACAGAATGGGGAGCAGAACAGGCAGACAGACCAAAATACACTGCTGAGGGGAGCAGTGGACGAGACAGGAGAGGTCTGCTGCATCATGTGGGTCAGCTCCCAGGCGGGGGATTGAATTCAGACCACAGTGGCTGGTGATAGCTTGATAGTGCTGAGACTTTACCCATGTGCCACCAGGGAGGCCCCGCTTTGCACCAATTGACCCAGCGCTCTGCACGAGTGACCCCCACACTGTGACCCTGCTGTGTAGCTGAGGGGGGCGGGCAGACGGGGAAGCCAAGGACTCAAGGTTGGGTCTACATTCCTAAGAAGCTGGCAGTTGGGTTCGGTGCCCGGGGCCTCCAGACACCCCTGGATGGAGCAGCATGAAGAAGATAATGAAACATGACCCCAAACTCAGTGCACTGGCGTTCCCTGTGTGCCAGCCAGCGACCTCCGTGAGGCCACACAGCTAGTAAACTAAAGGAGCCGTGACTCTCCTCCGCCATCTGCCGACATGACATGGTTTACAGGGCCGGGGCTTCGCTCCACCTGGCGTGCCACCCCCTTACGTACTCTCGGTGCCAGTCGTAGATCTGATGGATGTTGCCAAACACGATTTTGTCTTTGCCTTTCATGTCGTCGGGGACGCCGTCCTCCTTCATGAGCGCCATGTAGCCCTGAGATGGAATTAGGACTCCGTTAATGTAATACTTTTGCTCACCTAATTAAAAGTGAGTTTATTTCACCGAACACGTGGGAACCAAGTCATGCTTTATCGACTACTAGTCGCAAAGGACACGCTAGACCCGCGCGCAGTGCTATCATCAGTGTGTCCTCTAGAAACAAGAGCTCTGTGTGAAAAATGTCCTCCACTGGCACTTGAAACACCCCGCGCCAATCACTGCCCCGTTTGCTCTCCCCAAACTGGTTAGCATCTGCAGACCAACATTCTTCTAAGGGACCGAAAGTTTTAATGAATGTAAAACACTTCATGAAACAAATCACCTTGTCAGTCTGTAAATGTTAGCATTTGGCCAGAAACATCTCTACTCTGTTCTCAGCACTTATCTCTTATAAACAGATTTTCTTTTCTTTTTGGATTATTTTACATACTTTGTATATTCGTATAATTTGTATAAGGATCTAAAGATACACTTTTCACAATATGATTTTTAATAACTGTTGGTGAAATAAGTTACCAAATTAAGATCTAAAACTTTAATGCAAACAGGATCCTGCCTGGACAAGAACGTTTTAAGTATTTCAGTTACTTATTTTACCGTTAATGGTGATGATGGACAAACTGAACACCTTAAACGTCCCTGTTATACAATTATCAGTCACGGCTATTACTTTAGTGGGAAATACACCCCCAAAGTGTTGTCTTGCATACACTTATAAAGCTGAAAGAGTAAGCAGTGACATTTCACACCATAAAAATAGCTTTTTTGATGAGTTGTGTTTATTAATATAGTTTGAACTTAATTGCAGGGAAAGAGCCCAGAGATGCCCCAGGGCAGAAGCAGTTTTGCTGTAGCCACACAGGCCACAGCCATTAATGTCAACAAAAGCGTGATCCGTTCAACCTGTGCCAACTCTAAGCAAATGGGCCAGTGTGACTGCAGGCCAAGCTGGGCACCCAGGAGAACTCAGGGTGGAGCTGACCCCACAGCTGGTCACACAGCTCTGCAGCCAGCGGTCTGGTGTCTGCAGTGATGTTCCTCTAAAGTAACTGAGGGCCACACTCTGGTATAAGTACCAGTTGGACAGGATCATTTAGAAAATGATAAAAAAGTGACTGTGGTAAGACAACTGGTTAAATTTTATTTTTCCGACTTTGTTGGCTTTTTTTGGTCAAAAAGTTTTTTCGAGATTTGTAAAGCTACCAGGGCTCAGCTACTTAATGCGATGCCCCCGAGACCCTCTTAGGGCCTGAGAATGTTAAGTCAGTGAAAACACGTACCTCCACCACACAGCCCAGGTCGCGAACATAGTCGCGCTCCGTCTCCACTAACTCTTGCAAGACGTAGCTGGAAAGAGAAAAAAAAACAAGCATTTACAACCCAAACTCATTTTCTAAATGCTTGCTTCTCTCGGCTCCCATGCCCACTGGCGTGTGCCATTTGTCAAGCTTGACAACCAGGCCTCGAGTCTCGAGCACCTCAATCATGGACAGGGTCTTGGGAGACCGGTGAGCCCATGGAGGTCACGAGACACTTCACAGTCAGGGTGAATCCACAGCTCTGCATTCTGATTATACATGAATAACCCACAGAGGCTTACAATGAATAAGTAATAAGGTATGACGTTACAACAAGCAGATTTTTGGGGGTGGTTGTTTGTTTTTTAATGATTTAAGTTGTTTTAAGCTTCACTGGACATCCAAGAAAAAAACTGGACTCCTGTGTCTAAAGCCTAGGGTCTGATGACATCACTCAGAAGTGTTTCCTTTCATACAGCTCAGAAACTGCCTAAGGCCATTTGGACAATGGGAGACAATGCGCGATCAGAACAGGGAACATCCTTGGTGGGCCTGAAAAGGCTCCTTTCTCTGTTCACTCATCCATCCATCCACCCAGCACCAGCTCCTATGTGCCCACCCCCTTCCAAGGGCAGGGACAGAGGTCAGTAACCTCAAGTCTCTGCCCTCAGGTGGTGTAGAGGTTTCCCTCATTCCCAAAGGCAAGCTTAAACCTTTGTGATGTTTTCAGGTCTTTTGTTCCTGCCAGAGCTGCTTTACTGGACCAAGGGACACTACCACTAAGGGAGTCAAAAAATATTCAAAATGTGGGGACTGTATTTAAGATTCTGTTGCCTGCCTTTTTCCTTCCCTACTACGTGTACAAGACAAAGTCGAGAAAGACAGACCTCAGTGGATTTCACTCATGCAGAATCTAAATGAACAAAATACACCAAACAGAACTCAGGTACAGCGAAGGGGGCACGACCAAGGGGGTTACGGCATAAACTCCCGTTATAAAATGCCCCCCTAGGTCGGGGCTCAAAAGGAGGGGACCACACTCAACTATCCTGCAGAGCAGACCTGGAATGCCACCAGAGTAAATCCTAAAAGTGGGCTTTGCCGCGTCGCGGAGGGAGGAGGCCACAAGCCACACGTGCAGAGAGCGAACCATTGGGCGGAACTCCGGAAACCGACAGACGTTAATCAATTACACAGCAATAAAAATTTAAAAAACACAACCCAACCAGCCAGCCAAAGAAAAACAAACAGAAACTAATATACAAATCAAACAACAGAAACTACTGGAGGGCCGCCCACGCCCAGACAATCCTGTGCCTTCCCCCAGTTTCTCAACCGGAGGAGACCCTGGGGCTCCTGGGCCCGTCAGCGCTGAACCCCAGTTACAGTCTGGAGGGAGGGAAGCCACAGAGCCATGACGGGGGCAGGGGCCTTACTGCCGCCTCTTCAGGGAGCTGGACTTCCTCTCTTCCATCTCGTCAATGGGAGAGGACGAGGAGAGCAGGGAGTTGTCGGAAGGGTTGAACGAGGGGCTGCTGCTGTCTCCCTGGTCCACAAGGAGTGAGCTGGGCCGGTCCTCCAGCGCCTGGAAGAAAAATCACAGGAAATCGCTGCGTCAGCACATGTCCTGCCTCCAGGCCACGAGAGGCCCAGGGAGGATAAGATAATCCCCAGCACGGCAGCACGGCATGGTGGGGACGTGACAAAACCTGTTTGTGGAATTACACACTAGTTAAACAAAAAAGTTCCACCATCACCATTAATTAAAATTAAAAAGTTGAGGATGAGGAGCTGGATACAACAGCAATAGGAATGAAAAGTGTCGGGGTGCCATTTCATAAGATTAAAAACTAGACCCCCACTCCTTGCCCAGCAGGCAGGTTGGGGAGGCTCAAATAGATGAGGGCACTGATAAGGTTGCCAGAGCAACCAGGGGGTCACTATGACCCTGAATGCGGAAGCAGGGTCAGGACACATTCTGTGCCAAAGGCCAGTGCCCAAGACCAGACACCCCAGGAGATAGCTCGTGCATACTGGTGCCCAGACCAGAAAGCCTGTGGAAACAGGCAAAAGAGCCCCAAATCCTATTCCTGCCCAGACCTCGCCTGTCTTACCCCCTGCTCCCCTGCAGGTGTTTTGATAAATCCGCCTTTCCAGTTCTTGTGAGTTCTTTCACCCCCGCGCCTCTGGTCCTCACCCCAATGTTACAGCACCACCAGGAGAGTGAACTTGTGTGTATTAGTGTACGCTCCCTTGTTGCCAAATAATTAGAAATAATACAACTAGTTCACACCCGTGTGCTGACCCCGCTTCTGGGTCTAGCACAGACTCCAGTGCAGTGATTTTCCTCGTGGTGATGTCCCTGCCGCACAGCAGGGGGCTTCAGGGTGCCTCTCGCCCAGAGGGCCCAGACGGCGGGGACACCCCCTGGCCCCCGCATCGGTGGGCTACAGAGCAGTGCCAGCAAGCTACATCGCCAACAGACTTGGCTTGATTCTTGATCATCCACGAAGCCTCGACTCCTACTTCTGTGCACACAGATCCACCGGCTAAAACCCAGCCCATGTGGCACTCACGTTCCCCTCTCCTCTGTAGGAAGCCGGGCCACGCGGGATACTGATTCGAAAGCTCTTTCTCTCACAGGGGTCTCGTTGCTGCAGCTTCACCTGTGTCCCCTGAAACCTCGGACGGAGCTTGGCAAGTTGTGCCCTGATCCGTGGGCTGAGTGCTGCTGAGTGTCTCCCTGGATTGACGCACAGCGAACCTTGTCCCCAAACCCAGGGAGCCGGGAAACACACCAACGGCCGCTGTCGCTCACGAAAGACAGTCAAGGAGTGGGGTCCGGGTAGGCTGAGAGCTGGCTCTGTGCCCACCCATTAGGTGGTCTCAGCCTGAGGGCTAGAGACCGAAGGTCGAAGGAGGGTGCTTACTGCCTGCAGTGGCGAGAAACCACTGAAGCTGGTTAGACTGAATTCCACTCACTCGCATGGTGAGGGGGCGGGAGAGAGCAAGGCTCCAGGCGGCCCCTCAGGGAGGAACAGGAGAGGAGAGTCTTGGCCTGATGTTCGCAAGGCCGGGCTTCTAGAGTGGGCGGAACAGTCCTTTGGACCCGCGACTGCAGAGCTGCTGAGCCCTCTGGCTGGGACCTGGGGGCAGCCGAGAGGGTGCAGAACCCGACCAGGCCAGGCCGTCGATATGGGCATTGTGGACAACGGTCACCTCCAGCCTCACTGCCCGTCTCTCACGCACAGGGGTGGGCCGGGGGTGATGGGGACTCTGCATGTGCGGACAGATTATCTGTGATGCCTGCTGGGCCTGATTGTGTTCTAGTGAGTTGGTTCTCCACTTTCTCTGTCTCTCAGCTGAAGACCGAGCTGCACAGACCCTCTATTTTGTCCGAGGTGCCCGTGAACCACAGCGTCTTAGGAAATGACCCATGTCAAGCAGCTTTTCCAATCTGCTTTCAGAGCCACGCAAGTGTGTGATGGCTGCGTCCTCGCTTAGCTCTCCCAGTTTCCTGTTTTGTGAATCTCCATTTTCTTCTTGATGTCTGTACAAGGACAGAGGCCACATTTTTTTTTGTTTGTATTTTGCCTTATTTTTGACTCATTGATTTCTGTGTTCATCTCTCGCGATTTCATTCTCTCTGTTTTTCTGTGTTTTGCTCTTCTATTTTGAGTCAGGTGATTCTTTATTTTCAGTCTTCCTTGCAACTTCCTTTACATTTACATCAACGAAGAGAAAACGCCAAAGTCAAGCTGAAACAGCTGTGGCCGCGGCCGACCCGCTGCCCTCTGGCCAAGGCTCAGCAAAGACGCACTCCCAACGCTGCTGGATCAGGGACGCGGCGGCCCGAGAGAGGAGTGAGCGCCAGAAAGAGTTTCCAGGGTGGCTTTTATTTTTCAGATTGAGTCCTCAGGGCCCAAAGGTTCTGTTCCTTAAACTGTAACAGCAAACTCCTGCTCTCACCCGCCCAGCCCAATAAACGGATACACAGCTCCCGACAGAGAAACAACTCCGAGTTTAGATCCTGAAGGCGTGCGGCCTGAGAGGTGGCCCACGAGGGACGTTCGGATGACTGAGAACCCACGACGCGTGGCAGGGCCTGCAGGAGGAGCGGGGCCCCAGCCTCCCTGCCGCTGTCACTGTATAAAGGAGGCCCGCCGGACGTCTAAGGACCAGGGCCGGGAAAGCAACGTGGAGCTCTGGCTCCCCAGAGACACAGAGAGAGGGCAGGAGACCATACTCCGTGGAGAATGACGGCGAGATGAGTCCACTGGAAAGCGCATCAACGGGGATCTCCCGGGGGGAGAGGGGCCTCTTCTGTCTCACCTACAGCGGCAGGAGCAGCAGGCCGGAGAGTCGGACCCCAACCCTCACTGACTCTAAAACCTGTGCTCTCTACCCCACAGCTTCATGCCTGCTAGATTGAGAGGAGATTCCATGAGCACAAGCATCTCAGTTTCCACTGAAAAAGTTTCCTTCTTTAGAACTTCACAGGGGGACGCCACAGAAAAGTAGAAAGGGACCGGCGATGGCCACAACAATCCACTGGACTCCACCCGAATCAGCGCCGGCTGAGTCCCGGCCACTTAAAATAGTCAATGTAAATATGTGCCGAGTGGCCTGCAGGCCGACAACGGGCCGCCTCCCAGCCTCCTTTGCGAAAATTACTTCAATTTTTAGGCAAGAATCACTTGAATGGTTATGTAACTGATGTGTATTGAGGGGTATTTAAAATTGAAGAAGCATAGAAACTGATTTGAATCAGTTCGGAGGAACGCAGTCTGTTCAGCTTCAAAGATCCAACATTTAATTTGGGGCTTTTATGAAATGAGTCCACGCTGCCCAACTGATAATACAGAGGTCACTAAGACAATAAAGCCTGGACGTAACCAACTATATTCCTTTCTCTTACACTCTGTAAATCCAAATGAACAATCTCAAACAGCAATAGGAAGCTGCCCCCCGTCTGTGGAACTGCCGCCACGGGGCACGTTGTCCCTTGAGATTAGAACTGACCACTTCTGCCTTGACAGTGCTGGCGCTGCCAACAAGGTGTGCAGGGACAGCTGGGCTGCGGCTCCCGAAAGACAACCGAGCCCTTGGGAAGCCCAGCCTGATGAGGCCGTCCGTGCACCTGGGGGCGCTGGGCCAAGGCAGACTCTCATCACTAACAATGGGACCTGTGGTGGGGGCGCTGGGCCCCGTGGCATCCTGACCTCAGGGTGAGTGGCAGGTGACAAGGGTGAACCAGTCACAGGATGTCACTGAGCCCAAGTGGAAAACCCCGCACATCAAGGCTGGGTGAGTGCCCCTGGGAGGCAGGGACTCTGCGTGATGTCACACGCGGATGCTGGGACACATCAGCACTGTCTGGCTCACCCCCCTGGCAGAGGACGATGCTCCGGGACCCTCTGGACCCTGCCCCTGCACCCCTGCCATGTCCTCTCGTGGCTATCGGCTGCAACGTGGGGATACCACCTGGTGTGAGTTCTGAGTCCTTCATGTGAATCTTGGAATCCGAGGACAGTCTTGGGGACCCAGAACTTGCAGTTGAAGGAAGCGAGTGTGGTCTTGGGACCCCCCAAGCTGTGGAACATGCCCAGGCGTGCTGGGCAGAGCAGAGCAGCTCCTGGACAAGGGCCCACGGCTGCAACTCTGGGAGCGGCCGCCCGGGAACCTTACCATCTTGCTTTTCACCAGTTCCTCGATCGCACTGACAAGTTCGGCTGCGCTGGGTGTTTCAGAGCTGGTGGGACGGACTAACAGCCGAGAAGAGGCCTAGGAAAGAGGTTCAGAGAGAGAGGGAGGGGGGACGGGGGAGCCTCGTGTTAGTCACTGGGTGGACAGCGATTCTCCTGCAAGCTCAACCTCTTTTTCAAAGTAATTCCAGACAAAAGGACCACAAGTTTGTCTTTGTTTGCATTTATTTAAAGCCATCCTTTTAAATTTACAATGTTCTGACACGAAATATTAAATAAAACCTGTCTGGGGTACATGTGGACAGCAAGGTCTGTTTTTAAACTGTCGTCATGGAACATCATAATGTTTTCCAGAGAGGTGACTGGGCATGGGGATCGCTCACTAACTAAAGGCTTTTGCCACTGCTGGCTGGGCTACTGGCGAAGGAGAAAAAAAAAAATACAGAATCTGATCAATGGAAGAACGAAAGGCTTGAAGTGTAATGAGTGAATCCTTAAATAACCAGGAAAGAAAACCGGATACTAAGAATGGCTTCATGGTGCTGATGGGGTTAAAAGAATCAAGAAAGAAAAGGGCAGATTGGGGTACACTGACCAGACAGGGAGGAGGGGGGACGCGCTCACCATTTTCTGTGCCATCCATTTCCCCAATGATTAGTGCAGAGTACAGGAGATCTGTGGCCTCACAAGCTATCAGGTGCCGTTTACGGCTAGAATCGGGGTGTACAGGGGGTGACAGTCAAGGGAGCTGGGGAGAGGCTACTGAGTTCAAGTTTCAGTAATTAGCAAACCACAGCGTGTTTGCGGATTACTTGCGCTGTCAATTAACTGGAGACCAGAGGGGGCGTAATATGAACCTTGCTTCATATTAGAGACAGCGGAGGTGCATGCGACACGCTGTCCTAAGGATGCATTTCTCACGGCAGACATAACGGGGTTTACATTTACAACGAGGCTTTTACATATGTGGATCCAGATGTGCACTTTGCAAAACAAATGTTGGTTTGGTCTAATGAGATCTGGACTATGGGGGTGAGGAAAACAAAGGAAAAAAAAATTCAAATGGCGAGGTAAGGAAACTGAGCCCAAACAGACACAGAACACAAATCAACGTAATGCTGCAGGCGAACGTTCACAGGGGGAGAAAACAGAACAAAACAGAAGATTAGTCACAAGGTAATACCGTCTGCGGGCACATCACTACAGAGTTCTGCTCTGGAGAGGACTCAACACTGTCACCAGAAACGATTTTAAGTGACCATAAGAACCTGGGGCGACCCACAATTTAAGCGGGAAAACACACTCTCTGATCTGGGGAATGAATCGACCGGGCCAGGCGGGCATTCACTTGTGGCTAAACACTTCTAAGAAATTTTGGTTTTCTGCTTCTCAGAAATGGCCTGGGACACTGCAGGACAGCAGGGGGTGGTCAGAGAAACCCTGTGGTGGGGGTGGAGTCCCCGGGCCTCCTGCCCCGAAGCACTGGGCCTGCACCCCGTGACCCCCAGTTCCGGACTGAGAACTAAGTGACTTGCTGGGGCTGAGGCCACCGCGCACTGCATGGCACTAAGGAGAGGAGGTGAGAGGTGAGGTGGAGATAAGGGCTCAAGGAAACGCTGCCCTAGGTTAGGACAAACGTGTGATCTGCCTCCGCCTCTGGCTGTCAGTCACTGGACCTCCCAGCTGTCAGTCAGGCCTTGGGCCTCCTGTCAGTCAGTCAGTCCGTCAGGCCCTGGGCCTCCCAGCTGTCAGTCACTGGGTCACAGCAGACCCCGGGTTGTAAAACTGTAAAACGCTGGCAATCCAGCAAGTGTTAATACTGTGGAATAAATCACGGGAGGAAAACAGGAAGAACGGGAGAAACTGATGAAAACCTGTTTTATTCAGAAAACTGAGTTACCGTGCAAATAAAATGCAGCAAAGCCCGCACAGCACGTTCTCAGCACCTGCTGGTCTGGAAGGGGCACAGCGGCCCCAGACGCAGGACGCGCGAGCCCTGTTATCAGGTTTCTTTCCTGATGTTTGCGGTTCTACAACTGGGAGGGGCCACGGTGTTTTAGACTATGTAGGGACTAAAAATCAAGAAAGCAACGAGGCTCCCTTGGCTGGTAGCTGAACCTGCCCAGGGCCTCTGGCTGCGCTGGCCTTGCGCTCCCAAGCCCAGGGCAGTTTGTCTAAGACCCTCCCTGGACAGAGGCCTGCACAGCCGCACAGCTCGTCTGAAAAAGTGCCCGTGTGCAGAAACAGAGAACAGGGGCCTGTCCCTGCCCGAGGATGGAGCCCCAGCGGCAGGGCCTCCTGCTTGTTCTCTCAGGCGCCTCAGTCAGCACGGCAAGAAAAGTAAGTCCCACCGAAAGCAGCAGTAACCGAAACTCATAGAACACACACCAGCCGCGTCGACTCAGACGCCCAGCTCGGAGACACACACTGTCTGGCTGCGGGGTCTAAGCGGACCCCCTTGTGCCCGCGTCTGGGCGGACACAGTGGGCTCTGCTTGGCGACGTGCCCATCACAGCCGCCCGTCGCGGCGGCACTCGAGGCCTTACCTTGTCGTCCTGCGAGTCCGGCTGGAGCAGGCTGTGCTGCTGGATGGCCATGGGCGGGGGGAGCGGCACGGCGTCGGCACCCTCCTCTCCTTCTTCCTCCCCGCAGCTCTGCATGCCCGAGGACGACGACTTGGACAGCGTGCCGCTGCTCAGGCCCTCGTTCCGGCCCCTCTGCAATCACAACCACATTCGTGGGTCACTTCCAGGCCCGGACGCCGCAGTCGGGCCACAGAACGCAGCCCGAAGGGGCTGACTGGAAAAGTCCAGAAACCCGGCAGCTCCAGCCCCGCCAGCCCCGCCGGCAGCTGGCTCGAGAACAGGCTAGGAACGCGGCTCATCTTTAAGAAGTCACAAAGAACAAGCTTCAAAAATCTGTCCCATAGCCCTCGTGCTGGGTCAGGTCCTCCGGTCTAATTTCCTTTCACTTGGGTGCCCTGCTAGAGTGACGCTCACTGCAATCGTAAGGGAATAAGGAAAACGAAATCCGAGCTGCTTAACCAAGGGCCCCTCACAGACGGCACCAGAGCCGGAGGCTCAGCTTGGGATCAGGAAGGAATTCTGCTCCTTGTAGCATAATTTAAAACAACAGGAGGAGCTTAAAATTCCAAGCTGATGCACACACATAAATTTATCTTTGATGACATGGGAATAATCCAGTGTTTACTGTGGGGACGGGGAAGGAAATCATTTGGGCATTTTCTTCTCAGAGATGTGAGTATGAATACGGGGAGCTCTCTGGGGCAGGCAAACGTTCCCCCAGGCCTCCCTGGCAGGAGACAGGGGCACCCCGCACAGCGAAGTGGGAGGAGCGCGAGGGGGGCACGTCGGAAGGAGAGGTGACGCCACACGTTTACAGCGCGTGAGGACAGCAAGGAATCGAGGGGAAGAATCGACAAAACGGATACTTATAAAAGCTCGTGGACACTCACACACGCAGGGAGGTCACTGAAGCCGAGAGGGAGGGGAGGAAAGAGGCGAGAGGGTCAGGGGACAGGGGAGAGTCTGTGAAAAGCAGGAGGAGGAAGGAGGAGCAGCGAACGAGTCCTTCTCCACCGCATCACACTCACTAAGGCCGCAGAAACCAAGCACCCTGGGCAACAGAAACAAGGGGCTTCCTGCAGGGCTGCCCGCTCGCCTGGGTGGGCGTAGCCTCCAGCCTCTCCTGGCTTTGCCGACTGGCACAGTGAATGGGCATAGGGCTGGGTGCCCCCCAAATTCTGGAGCAGTGTGGGGGTGGCCTCACTTGGGAGGAAGGCTCACAGCTGCACGTGCCTGCTGCTGCGGGGACCAGGACCAGCTGGGGCAGAACTGGCCCCCAGGGAATGGAGCCTGGCTGCGAGGACCCTGCCGACCATGGGGCTGGCAGACAGGGAGCACCTTCACGGGCTGAGCCCCCTGACAGCTGGGGGCGGTCCTGGGATATGGGGGTGCTGACCTCCTCCACGGTCTCGTCCTGTGGGGTGGCTGCGCTGTCATCTGAGTCCTTCTGCGAGCCGGCGTCGGCACTCTTGCGCACCTCCCGGCTCTTCTTGTGCTTGTGGGCCAGCTTCTTCACGTGCCCGTCCGCCTTGCCGCTGCTCAGCCGCCGCACCGGGCTGGTCAGCCACTTGCGCAGGGTGTTGCCCGGCCGCTTGGGGCCCGGTGAGCTCTGGGCCCCCATCATGTGGGGCTGCAGGGAAGCCACGGAGGCGGGCGGGCTGGCGTCATTGCTGGAGATGGACAGCGAATCTGCAGGACAAGAGAAACAGCGGTTGGAGGGAAGGTCCCAAAGGTGCCCACCGCCCAGCTGAATGGGGCACCCCAGGGTGCCAGGCCCTGCCTCTAGGCCCCCTGGCCGGCGCGTGTGCATTTCAACCGCTAACCTAACTGGGGTTGTTTAGAATGACTTTCCTCAAGATGCACTGGCCCTTCCTAGCCACCCCCAGGCACCAGTCCTGAAGGCCAGTGTTACTGCTGCACAGATTTAAAATGTGATCATCACGGACATCGGAGGAGAGGATCTTCAAATTATTCTCATCTAAGAAAGAATATAAAGGAAATCACAAACTAATAGTGAACAGTTCAACAAAACAGCACATTGTGTGTGTGTGTGTGTGTGTGTGTGTGTATAAACAGTATAGCTCTGACCTGGTCATCAGCCTTAGGGACAGATCTGGGGCACCCTTCTGGAAAGCTTAGTGACAAGGCCGAGGTCAGAGGCTGCAGGAAGGCTGGCTTTTGGGGGCCTCCACCCTGGGTCCCAGGCTCACAGCCTCAAAAGAGTTACTTCACATGTTGGAACAAATGCCAGTGACAACAAAACACACTGTAAGGAATGGCGAGGAGAAGTCTTCCTTAAATAACTAAAATGTTCTATGGAAAATAACCTGAAAATCTATATATTTATCCTGAAATTCAATATACTGAATCCTGGGTTGGTGATTCTTTTCAGGAGGAAGGAAAAAAACCTGAGGTGACCGAGGTGACCAAGGTGACCGGCAGCTCCACTCACAGTCCCCGGAAGGCAGGGGGGCTGCTCTGCAGCCTGAGGCCCGACCTGGCCGCCCGGGGCCCTCTCCTGAGCAGCCGGCTTGGCCACCAGCAAGTGGAACGAAGCTCGTTGCTCCAGGAAATGGAGTAAGGAAGAAGCCCATTCCCCACGCCTGTCATTTTCTCCTCTCTTTTGAAGTCTTAAAAATGAATTAGAATTAATCTGTGAAAAGATTATTTTATGCAGACACCTGTATTGGCTGCATTTACCTCTGTGGCCTGGAGACCATTATGGCTACAGTTAAAAGGCAAGTGAGCTAATCCCCCCAATCCTGTGATTATGTGTGGGAGAGTCAGAGGCGGTTCCCAGCCTGCTCCAGACGCCTGGACCAGACAGCGGATGCCCGTCTAATCGCCGGCCATTCCTCCTCGGCCGCGCCTGGCCTGGCGAGGGTATAATCTTCCATAAACAGATGATGCACTTCGGGCAAGGCCCGTCATTCCCAAATACCCAGGCCTCCCTCAAAGGCAGACCTCTGCTCCACACAACCAACACGGCATCCTGTCGGAGAGCATGAGTGCTCCCCTGCATGTGTGCGGGCACGGGTGTGCACATACACACGTGTCTACAGCCCTCTGAGTTTGTTTTACTTTATTTATTTATTTATTTTTAAAGATTTATTTACTTATGCATATAAGAGCTTGGGCACAGGCCAGAGATATGGGGGGGTGAGAGGATTCACCAGAGACAGAGTGGGGTGCAGAACAGGCAGACTGACTGAAACACACTGCTGAGGGGAGCAGCGTGCGCGACAGGAGAGGTCTGCCGCACCATGTGGGTTGCTCTCTGGCCGGCAGGGGATCGAACTCGTGCTGCAGTGGCTGCGGATTGCTTCACGGTGCGGTGCTTAACTCCTTGCACCACCAGGGAGGCCTTATTTTATTTTTAAACGAGAAGTTACGAAAACATTTCCCCGTGGGTCTCAGTTTCCTCTGTAAGAGGCAGGGGAGCATGAAGCCATTAGGGTGACAGTATGCTCACGCAGTAAATACTTCCGAGGGACTCTCCCAGGCACTGACTTGGGGGCAAGGCCAAGCGAGGTGGACGTGGTCCCCGGTGCCAGGAAAGTGCTCGGGGTAGTGACAACAGGAAAGGTAAAAGGGGCGGGTCTGGGTAATCCACATGGCGACGGTAACTTATTCAACTAGTGGTTATAAGTGCCAAGTCTTATCGACACTGCAAGGTGCCTGTTTCCCAGGCTTGTCTTCCATGTGGCTCAGGGCCCAGTCCAGCCACTGGACAGAGATGAATCAAACCTGCTTCCTTCTCCCAGGGGACCCGCCACTCAGAGCCTCCGGGGATCATGTAACTCACACTGGCAGGAATGTGACACTCGTGCTACGGGAGCACAAACCCCTCCAGGGCTTGAGAAGGAACAGGGATCGCGGAGGGCTCCATGAGGAGGCGACACCGCGCGGCCCGTGGAGGGGCTGGCCTGGACAACCACGCGCCAGGTCACGAGACTGTCAGCCACAGGGCAGGGGCTCGTCTGCCCGTTACTTGGTATCCTCCCGGGCCTGGCACGGTGCCGGGCACACAGCTGCTGCTTAGTAAGCACTGACTGGAAATGTGGAAATCCCCGGCTAGGGGGCAGGGCCAGCTGACTCAGTGCTGAGCGAGGACGGCCATTGCCATGTAGCCGAACGGCTCACAGGCGGAGCAGGTGGCGGCCCCGGTGCAGCCTGGGAGGTGAGCTGGCTCAGGTGCCACAGGAGGCAAAGGGGCAGGGAGAGACCGAGGCCCTCTTACCTTTTATTTTTGATGAAGGTGTGTTTGACGGGGGGAGCGTCAGTGTACAACACTATGATTTAGGGGAGCAGGGTCACACCTCCTCATTTGTCCGTTACCGCACCCCCACCACAGCCCCCGGGCCCTCTTACTTTATCAAAACAAATCAATGACTGGTTTTAACGCTCAGGAGCAGACTCACAGGTTAGAAGTGAGCGCACCAGCTCGGCCAACAAATGAGCTTGACATTTGCTTTTGTGCCTGCAAGTGAGAATTCGGGGTGGGGTGGGGGTGGGCATGGCTGGGGGACGGCAAGGCAGCTCACAAGATGGCTCCTAAGTGAAGCGGACGCCCGTCTGGGTTCTGACACCGCTCCTGTGACCTAATCTGATAGGTGCATGGGCCCGTGGGCTTTACGAGGACAATTCTCAGAGCGCTGGTCTTGCCAGGCAGAGGAACAGCTGGTGACGGAAATGGTTCAAAAGGAGATGAGGCTGGGCCGATCCTCACTCTCCCTGGGCTCAGCTACACGGGATCCGTTCTTGGAGAGCCGTTTGGAAATGTCTCCCTCTTGCCCGGCGGGTCGGGTGTCACGAACCTGGCGGCGGCCTGGAGGGGCCCACCTGGACCCAGGGAGGAGGCGGGGGGCCTGGGGTCAGAGGGACGGCTGCTCGCAAGAAGCGACGGCCCGTCATCACACCAGGAACGACATCGTTTCTCTTTCCTGGAACTCATGACTTAGAAAAATGCTGGCCGCTCGCACGAAAAGGGCCTTTCCTCACATTTTCGATTTTACCTTGAAAGACATTTCATTTCAGAAACCTGAACGTGTACAGGACGAGCTTGTCTGTCTGCAACCAAAGCAGGTGCTTTGTCAGATCTGCAGGCCTGACGCAGAAATCACAGATCTGGTGACTGGCAAGAAAATAACCACTGGAGTGAAATAAAGAGCAAAGCAGAAAACCCGTCTCTTCTCACGTTGTTCTCAACACTAAGGCTCAAGCCCGCAGGCTGACACCGAAGAGACAGCAAATTGTCTATTTTTCTTTTCGATGCCGAGACTCCCCCTGCCTGAGTCAACAGACCGGCCGCTCCGCTTGTGTGCTGGATGCTGACATAATGCATAGATCAAGGATTTCAAAAACCGACAAATGACTGAAACATCACGCAGCCACCGACGGAGCGAAATAAAGCGTGTGCCATCACGGCTAGTTACCCGAAGACAGGCGGGCCGCTAGGACCGTGTCTGAAAATTTTAAAGCAGACACAGGCCCCGAAGGCCTCCAGTCTGATCCGGTCTCACGGTCCCTGGGCTAAGGGGAGCATAAATCTTTCTGTCTCTCCGTCTCACACACTTCCCCAGGGCTCCCCGGGCAGGTCTCCAACTGCGGCCCGCACGCAGCAGCTTTCCCCGGAGAACCCTCGTGGCGGGGACATGCTGCGTGTGCGGTCCGGGCCGCCCTGCCGCGAAGACCCGGCTCCCCGTAGCTCAGGGCTGGCGGGTTCACAGCCCCACGCGGCCATCCCAGGAAAGCTGGGTGACTGCCGAGCAGGAAGCCCGCCGGACTGTGGACTCCAGGCCTCCCTGGTGGGCACCGGGTCTGATTTTTCACGACAGAGCCCAGCTGCCAATGGCTGCCTGGGAGTTCCTGGGAACCTAATAGGTGCGGACTGAGTGAGTGACCAGTGGGCAGGCGAACGCACACACCGCCAGCTACGCGCTCTCCCCGCCTCAGCAAACCTCCCCATAACGCCAGGAGACCACTGTGGGCCGGCTGGCCAGCCTCAGCGGCACTGGGCCCGTTCTGAGATGAGCGACAGGTCACGGCAGAAGTCGACCAAGTTCAAGTTTGAATGACTGACCCACCAGGGGCTAATTCGGTGCTTAGTCCCGGAGCAGCCACACCGTGTCTTGCTTTCCCGCAAGGCGCAGCCAGGTCTCGGAGCCCTGGCAAGGGGGGAGCCCACGAACACCACCCCCAAGCAGGGCAGAGAGCAGGCTCAGGACCCAAGTGACTCAAAATATAGGGTGGAAAACCCACTGTCCCTTAAATCCTATTGATCCTGCTCCCGCCTTTGTGACTGTCTCTTGCCTCCCCTTGAACCCTCGCCTTCTTGGAAAAAAGACTCAACACAGTGCTCTTGATTTTTCACCTCCAGACTTGCTCAGGTGCTCCCCGCCTTCCAGCTTGGGGAGATACCTGACTCCAGGTGAGAGGGACAGCGCAGGAGCTCTGGACCTGCCCACGGGCCTGGGTTTGGGCCTGGCCCTCTGCTCGATGGCCGCAGCCCCAGGCAGAGGTTCTGGCCCCCAAAGGTCCTCACCTCACAGGACTTCAGGAGCTAATGGGAACGAGTGGGTTCTACAAACTGTGAAGAAGGATGACAGAGCCCACGTCCCCCAGGACTCCCTGGCAGTACGGAACTGACGCTGTATTTCTGCAGTATGGAGGACCCGGAAAACAAGGCA